TGATCTGCATATATGCTTACTTGTTTCAGGTCAGTAACTCAGAAGGTGTAGAAGTGGTCAGCAGCCTGCATGTTTTCTCAGTAGAGGATACCATTAAACCCTTCTACTTCTTATGCTATGACACGTAGCCAGCCGTATCAGCAAATAAACTTTTATTCTTATCCACAAACAATCAAATAAAATGGCTTATATTCAGTAAATACAAGATTCGGCTCAGCGGATGTATGCTAACTCCCACCTCAGGGTTAGAGTCCCAGCCTGCTCACAAAGGGTTCCAGTATGGACACAAGTGCCCCAGCAGTGTCTCGGTAGACTGTATTCCACAGCTTAACATGCATAGCCATGTGCCCTGCTCCAAACACTCCTCCCAGACACCGACTGACTGGCTCCCTTTTAACACACCCTCTGGCTGGTGGGTTAACCCTTTCATTACCAGAACTGGATGTAGTCAGGGATGGAGGCTCTGTCCCACCCAAAATCTCTCTGAGCTTCCGGATTCCGGGACCCATGTATATTTAATGACTCTGAGAAGACTGCCTAGCAGTTTCCCTTACAAGTCCGACCCGGAACCCCTCACCCTGCTTGGCGAGAACCCTGAATACAAGGCGACCTTAACGGGACCACCACCTAAACAAGGGAGGGATATATCGTCCATCCAGGACCCATTCCTGGCGTCCTGTACAATGTTTAAATTTAGTAACCTTGTCTCATAGCTTTGGTCCTCCATCCCCTTAATTAGTTTGGTTGCCATCCTTTCTGTGTACTGGTGACCAAAACTGGACCGCATACTCCAGATGAGGCCCGAACCAGTGATCTATAAAGTGGCAAAATTATAGACTTGTCTCTACAGGATATTCCCTTTTTAATACATGAAAGTTGTCTGCTTGTTTTGTTTACCGCAGCCTGGCATTGCAAGCTATTATTCAATCTGTGGTCTACAATGACCCCCAGATCTTTTTCCATTTCTGACTTCCCTAGTGGCGTTCCCATGTGTAATCTGCTGCCTATTTTTAACCCCAAAGTGCATTACTTTACATTTATCGACATTAAACCTCATCTGCCATATAGTTGCCCGCTCCCCTAGTTTAATGTTATATTGTCTAAGTCTGTGTCTATTACCCTCCCGATTTTAGTATCATCAGTAAACATGGAAACTTGGTTATTCACGCCCTCCCCGATATCGTTAATAAACAGGTTGAATAGCATGGGGCCCAGCACAGATCCCTGGGGCACATCGCTCATGACCCTAGACCAATCTGAAAAGGAGCCATTTATCGATACTCTGTGGACACGTTTCTGTAGCCAGTTTTCTATCCATGTACACAACATATCATCTATGCCCATAGACCTCAGTTTGTGTACTAAGCATTTATGTGGTACCGTGTCGAACGCTTTTGAAAAATCTAGATATACCACATCCACCGGCCTCCCTCCATCCAGATCTCTACTTACCTCTTTGTAGAATGTTAGTAGGTTGGTCTGGCAGGAACGGTCCTTCCTAAATCCATGCTGATTATCCTTTACTCATTTACTATATTATTATCATGAACATACTCTACTAAGTAGTCCTTAATCATTCCCTCTAAGAGTTTGCATACTATGGATGTAAGACTGACTGGTCTGTAGTTCCCAGGTTGGCATCTTGACCCCTTTTTGAATATCGGTACTACCGTAGCCTTCCACCAGTCACTTGGCACTCTACCAGTCATTAAGGAGTCATTGTAAATGAGGAATAATGGTCTCCATATAACCTGGCTGAGTTCTTTACGTTGGGGTGCAGGTTATCTGGCCCTAACGCTTTATTTGCATTAAGTTTCTCAAGTCTATGTTGAACCCTGGCTTCCGTCAACCACTGTGGTATATTATGCAATGAGCTATGTGTATTCTTATCTACATTAAACCCATCCTTTTCCTGAGTGTATACTGAGGAGAAAAAAGTATTCAACACCTCGGCCCTCTCCCTGTCGTTTCTAGCCACAAATTCTAGCCACAAGAAAGTGGGAACAGGAGAAGCATCAGGGACTAGTAGTGAAGATAATAGCTAAAACAACAGGAGAATTGGAAGGGAGGTGGGATCAGCAGGCATGGAAGAAGGCATGTGCACCATGTCCATGGAGGATAGTACTATGCTAGGCTTTAATTGAAATGTAGGTAGTTGCTAGGGATCTGGCAGATCCTATAGAATAGAATGGGCTGAGGAGTTGACAGGAGGAGTATCACTGTAGTGTACTTTTTTTTGCTTCCGTGTAACAGATTCTGCAATTGAAAAAATCTGGAATTTTATAGTGACAACATCTTTCATTGACCCTGGCACATATTTTGGAATTACATATTAAAAAGCCAGTAAAAACTCTAGGAACAAAATAGTACACACGTTTATTATTCAGCACAGCAGCTCTCCTGGCGGGACATTTCCTACAGAAGACAATATTTACAACCAGCTTACTGCAGTGGAAGGTGGTGCTCAGATGGAGCATCGTGAGTGGCTGCCGGTCCTTGGTGATTTATCAGTGAGCTTTTAATGCTTTTACTTAAGAGTCTTCCATGATACATTTTTGAGCAGACTCCTGGAAAAAGGAGATCTGCTGAAATAAAATATTTAATTATAGGATATAATTTATATGTGTAAAATGACTTGACAATAAACCAATTTCATAATTTCTGCTGCTTGAGCCCAGCTCATGATTAAGTGTCAATGACTTGTGTTGTGGACAGCAAAGACAGATGGAATTTTTCTGAGGGTGGCATTTGTCAAGGAATGTTCCTACATTTAAACAAAGTGGGAACAAGTATGTTTGGGTTATTTGATGTATGTTTACGTGCTACATAAATTGTTCAATCCCTGGTTCCCGCCTCTTACCTTCCTCTGTATTTGCTTTAGAACATTCTCTATTACAGACTGGAAACTAATTTCTCACATTTTGTTCCTTAATAACCTTTTTAACCTAGTGTTCAGGCATGAAACATAAGATAACGCTGACATTTTAGAAAATTCTAGTTTATTAACAGCACCACCCATGCAATATTTCTATTAGTAGGTAGTATTAGTAGGTAGTATTTATATTGGTAATTACTATCGTAGGTGTCTGTAATAGCCGAAACACGATACAAGAATGAAAAAGTTACAAATGTCAGAGTGTACTGACATTTGCTATAAAACTTAAAGCCCTTGTAAAATGTCTCATCTAATTTTAGTTTTCTTGTGCTTAGACTACATTACAATAAAGAGAGGTTGTCCTGTGTAACTGTCTTAGCCAAGTATAAACATGTCAGTGTACTTTACAGTTGAGTGAGTTAGCATTTATCTTTCACAGCTGTCCAAGGGGGAGTGGAGATGAGATGCTGGATCATGAACTTTCTCTAGTCAAGTAGGAGCAATATTTAGGCCTGATGGCTCACTTCCGGTAGCTGTTCACCACATGGGGGGGACACTTCAGAGGGAGGTGACACCCACAATGAGAAATCCACATTAATGAAGACTAAAGAGAGAACCAGACAATTGTCGCAAGAGTCCAAAAAAACCTTTTTTGGCTTCCCAAGTGACGACAAGAAGATATGCACAGCCAACACATTTTGGCGGTTAGCAAGCCCCCTTTAGTACTTAAGCAATGAACAACAGAACACTGATGGACTCTAGACTCACAGCCCCTGCACATAATCCTATTTGTTGATCTTTGTCAGAAGTTCAGCGTTGGAAAAATCAGGTGTGTGTGTGTGTAAAAATCTCAAAAATAAATTCAAAGTAAATTGTTTTCCCAGCAATAAAAGAGGAAAATGCAGCTGATACTTTACTAATGGCACATAAGACTACATTTTTTTTGATGGAATGTTGTAAAAGCATAAAGGTTGCCTGTCATGTAAAATTGGCATTACATAAGTCCTGCCTACTTTTGGAGAAGGTTATTTTGATGAAGTTAATTACCCGAGTTACCCTATCACATTAACAAAGCAGTGCAGCTTTGTTAGACTATCTTACTGTTAACCAGTCAGGAAACACATGCTTGTTGTAACTTGGGAAAAGCTGTAGATAGATGGAGGAGTTTTGGGTATAATGTCCTCTCGTGAACAGTGGACAGGAAAGCATAAGCCTATTCTCAGTAGTGCCAGTATTCTTCTCTGTTTCTCATGCTGTTCATCTGACAGTCTGAAATGAAGCAAATATAGGTGGTCACTCACTAAGTTGCTGAAGGCAGCTGAATGAATACCTGAGCCAAAGTGAAGTGAGCTAAAGGCTCTTTGGCTATGCACTGCAGTCCTGTACGGCTATTTTGAGCTGTACATTGGCTGCATTTGGCCTGCTTCACCTCCCTTTGGCTTGGCCAAACAGCCTCAGCACGTTCCGCTGAACTGAAGGGAAGAACCCATTCTCCTTAGTCGATGCAACATCTGAATTGGCCTAAGCGAACGCTCGGCAGTTCCTTCTCTGCAGTTCACCCCTATTTTCAGATGGGCCGAAAAGTGAGTAAATTGCTGAACTAGAGGAAACTGTTACTGTAAAAAAGAAAAAAAATGTGGGTCTGATAGGAATTTTAAGGGGGGCCCCAACCCCCCCCCAAAAAAAAAAAAATGTGGGATCTTCCTGGCAGAGCAGGAAAGGGCGGGATGAGTGAGCACCCTCCTCCCTACACCATACCAGGCCACATGCCCTCGACATTGGGAGGGTGGTTTTCCAGGGGGGACCTCCTGGAAAAGCACCTTGTCCCCATGCCGATGAGGACAAGAGCCTCCTTCCCACAACACTGGCCTAGTGGTTGTGGGGGTCTGTGGGCAGGGGGGCTCATTTGCATATGGGTGCCCCCCAGATGCTGCCCCCCCCCTCATGAATGAGTAAGGGGTATTTGTTACGACTACTCATTCACCAAAAAGTCCACAAAAAATGTAAATAAAAACACCACACCATGAAAAGTCCTTTAACTGAACAAAAAAAAAAGTCCTTTAGTTAAATTTAAAAAAGGCTCCGACGATTTAATCACATTGTCCACCAATGTAGATCCTCGTCAATGACACTATACGACACCCGCCAACTCGCCGAAGTCAAAAAAGACCTGCCGCTATCGCTGACCTCCCGACGCAAAATGAATGTAAACAAATTATGTCATGGGACTCGCTTTGCCCATTTGTTTACATGCCATTTGAGGACAGTGAGCTGTCATGGCATGAAAACAAATGGGCAGAGTGAGTTGCGCTGTCATGAGACGGCCACAGTGGGAGGTGAGAGAGGATATCCCCTTTCAGATACAAATGTGGGATATCCCCCCCACTGTGACCTTCTTATGGGATGCGATGAGGGCCTCCTTTTGAAAAACTATAACTAGGTAGTCTTCATAAATAGGTGTCTTTTCTGGGCGCATCTGCACATAAATTATCTATATATCCTTTAGATGGATGAAAGTTTCTTAGACTCTGCTGTCTTTTCCTGTGAAAAAATTTTGGTGTTGGTACCATTACTATCTGGGATAAGCAGTTGATAGAATTAGCAGCAACATATGATAAATGAAGAAACCCTGGGTAAATAGAGACCACAGCATGAGAGACCACATATGTTTTTTGTCTGTTCGCCCATTGGCCCGCACAGCCAGTAACAAATGACACCTTTGATTGGGTGACTCCCTATACCTCAGACTTCAATTGAACAGTGAACACAGCCTTAAATCTATTTCTGAAGAAGGGGCACTGTCTGTGAAACGCATTGAGCACAATCCTTCCACACACCCAGCAAGGATTTACAGTATCGACTATAGATATCTATAATGAATGATGAACATAGGAAATAGTGTTTAATCAGTGTTTAATCTGTGTGGGAAGATGGGTGAGGCAAGGCGGCAACTCTGAGGAGCTGATTGTGTGTACTTTATCATGATTTTATATTTTTATTGAATTATTAATTGATGTTGTTTAAGAAAATGTGTTATATCTTAAAAGCCGATTCTGTGGGTGCATAAGAAGTACATCACTTTAAATACTTTAATTGAATATTCGTAGTAGGATGGCACCCCCTACAATTTTCCCATTACTTTACTAAATGTATTTACTATTTACTTTTCTCTTGGTGAATGAGTATGGCTACAACGACCCCTTACTCATTCACATGGGAGGGGGGTGGCATCTGGGTGCCCCCAACCACCAGGCCAGGGTTGTGGGGAAGAGGCTCTTGTCCTTATTGTAATGGGGACAAGGTGCTTTTCCAGGTGGTCCTTTTGGGTGTTAGGGTCCCCCTTAAAATTCCTACCAGACCTAAAAGGTATAATATGAATTTGTAGGGGAATCCCATGCATTTTTTATTGTTTTTTCATCGGGGGGTCCCTCCTAACATTCCTACCAGACCTAAAGGGTCTGGTATGATTTGAGAGGGGGACCCCATGCTGATTTTTTAAAATTATATTTTTTAGCAATAATCAGGGATCTAGTCCACTTTGGCTGTTTACTTTGGCTGCCTTTGGCTGCTGTATGGGCTATTAAGAATAGCGTATACAACAGCCCTTTGGTTGGACTGAACCGAAGGGTTTCTGCAGCCGAAGTGAGTCGAAGGATTAGCTGAACGTGTGCTAAATCCTTCGGCTCTTTAGTGAATAACCCCCATAGTGTAGTCTTCCTTTTCTTGCTCAGGAAATGTCTAAACATCTCTTATTGTCATCTTTAGGCTAGCCCTGAGAGTCCTGATCCTCAAATATTTTACAGGGAATGCAAGATTAGGCCATTTATGACCACACTTTGGCTGGTTATGTACTCTTATATGTTTTACAAACTTCTTGGTCTAAAATATACAAATACATATGATATAGGGATTTATAAGAAAAGCCATCCATTATTGTCTCTGTAAATTGAAATCTGAATAAAACACTCTTTCTGTGTTTTCCTTAATTTACCCTGTGGCAGCAAATGTGCTTTTGGAATACTTTCTAATATTTTAAAGAATATAAATGATCATATTGCTCAAGATTACTCAGCATACTCAAGATAATTGAGTATGATCCTACTAAATGCTTTGAACAGAAAATATCAGAAGGATGCATTAACAAAAGCAGAAGAGTCGGGTGTAGTCACCTCTAAGATCCACAGTAAGGACTCCAGAAAAAAATAAACATTAGGAAGACAACTCATGACCATCCTGACTTAGATCTTAGATGTGACTATACAGGACACTACATATTTTTATCAGCTAAGAAAAATGTTAAAGAGCAATCTGTTTGTAAGATATTGAAATTATCTTCATTTTTGGTTGTTGTCTAATTGTCTTTGTGTCTAAGTAGTAGAATATTTTCTTGGGAAATAAATGGCATGTTTTTAGAACATTTGATTTTGGTCTTGATCCTGCAAGTCATTTCTACAAATTAACAACTGACCCTAAATTATTAAGCTATATGATAGATTGAAGCCACAATTACCAAAATTGTATAACTAAGTAAGTGGTAATTCGGTTGCAAACATTACCTATATTTATGTAGTGGCCGATAGCTAGCACTACATGTAACTCCATATTGTGACTGAAAAATGCTTTGAAGCTTAGCCTGTTGTGTTACAGCATGGGCCACTTGTTCCCTTAGTAGGTGGTGTGCAATCCCTGCATTTGGACAATTGTAAGTAGTCCTTGATTACTGGTTCAGAAAACACTGCTGTAAATGACCACATATTACCATACTTTGTGGATAAATGGGTAGAGGAGGAAGCCCCCCCCAAAAACAAGGATTGAGCTCAGCAGAGTTGCCCAGGCATAACAGATGGAAAGGAGATCTCTCATGTTATCGACAATTTTTATTGGATGAGATGCATAAACATAAAGCATTGTCTATGTGGCTAGTTTGTAGATTAATGTCATGTTAAATGTATTTATTGTTATTAAATAAATGTTTCTATTGTATTTTGTATTTCAGCGCAGAGTAAAAGATGTAATATCACCTATTGTTTTTGAAGCATCGTACAGCCTTGGAGAGCATGTCATTGGGAAAGAAGAGAGAGTCTTGCCTGCTCTTAAACCTATACTCCGCTGGAAAAAGGGGCAAAAAATAGCCCAAAGAAATCAGGTAAGGACAGACATTCAGTGCCTAGCTTTATATTATGGATACTTATAGAAAATAATAGCACGACATTAGCTAGCAGCATGGTTTGGCTCACTGATATTTTCATAAAATAAAACTTGCTTATAATTCCTGAGTTGCTGTCAGGCACTTGCCTATGGGGCTTCTCCATTCAGGCAGTTGAGTTCTCTCCACGTATTACTCAGTCCTTGCTTCCTCATTTTATGGACACTTTCTCCTTAGATCCCTCTAATCAGTGTCCCTCTGCTGCACCTTCTGGGTCCTGCTACTCTTTAGCTTCCTTTGCTAGGCCCTTCCGGCCCTTCCGCGATGTAAACTTATCTTAGGAGACGTTTTTATCTCTTTGTGGGCTTAGTAGCTTTGTCAACCTGCGTGTGCATTGTCGAGCAGGCCTGGTGTCAGTCTGACTTGTCCAGGTCCCTATTTTAAGGCAGTTTGTGACACAAACTGATTGTTGTAGTTTGTTGGCTGGTGGATGTTGTGCTTTGGATTGAATTTAGTCACTGACCTTGCCAGTACTTTACCTTACCTTGGCTGTGTTCCTGACTACATGTTTGCCCCTTGTTTTTGACATTGATGGTTGGCTCTAGTTACCACCAACGCACTTCTTGATAATGCTTTCAACTAAATCTCTGATCCTGACATCATCTGACTGGATGCTACTCTTGCCCATATAGTGATCAGAGAGGACTAGTGACCACCCCGGGGACCATACTCTGGGAGTGCTCTACAACGTCACCATCAGGTGGTCAATGGAGGACCAAGTACTACAAGAGCCATTTTGCTAGTGCCTCTGAGTATTCTCCACCATCCTTGCAAGATCCTTATATTTACATATGTAGGTGACACTGGTAATGTGCTACTTAACCATTTGCACATATTTTTGAGTGACCTGTGCTAATTGGGCAGTGTACAGGGCAAAACAATTGACAATAAAGGAAGAAAGTATCTGGTGTGCATTGTTAAAGGTTTATATATTTCAAGTGTATAATCTGGTTGGAAAACTATATAATCTAGCAGTTGCTTAGTGTGCAGACAACATTGTGCGAATGACAGTTACTGGCTTTTTCTTTGTTGAAAGACTGCATGTGCATATGTAGCCTAAACAGGGGAATGGTAACTACAGCAATAAAATAGTAAATCTAGACTACCTGCAATTGATACTTTATTAATGGGTGTGTGTTTACAAATCAGTTTTGTGGGTTAACCAGTGGCCAACTGAAAAATGCCTAGTGATCAATCACATGCTCTAAGCATTCTACCTCAAGCAAGAAATTGTACATCCTTGAGCAAAACAGTGTTCAGAATTGTGCTTGTTGATTGCTGGATAGTGTATGGAGAACGTGAATCTTAATACAAAAACAAAAAAATAATATATTGTAGCTTACTAGTCCCTACATGTGGTGGCTGCGTTAGTTTTATTTTTTACCTTTTTTTCTTTTATTTTCACTTGGTGATCCAGCAGTAACACATTTCCTGTCTCAGGTGTCTCCATTCTATAGAGGAACAATTGAGCCACCCTTGGACAGCAGCATAGTGACCCTGTGGAGAGGGTTGTGTTAGATGGACTAGCAGATTTAAACTTACCTGACTAACAAACTAAATCTGAACTCCCGCTAACACTTACAGTTACAGTTTCCTTTGTTTTCATCATGCCACTTTTGCTAGACAGCTTATAGTTGAATACAGTGTGTTTCAAAAAAAGAGAGGGATAGAGATGGAAATGAAGGCAGAACTTAAAAAGTGCTTAGTTCACAAAATTTAAGCAAATGTATTTTAATTACAAAACAAAAAGCATGAAATGCTTTAAAATATCTGCATATGGTTCAAACTGTAATAAATGCAACTAAAGTTCCAATAAAAGAGCTCCGTGCTAAGTGGAAACAAAATACTCACTTTTGGGAGTGTTAGATTCCTTGTCCCCCATGTGCTCATTGGTTCCTCTTGCCGACCCCTGCTTCACTAAAAGACATAGTAGTGATGTAGTGGTTGGTGAAAGAAACCACTAAAGCTGGTCCTACCCTATACAATATGATTATACAATCGCTGTACAATCTTCTTAAGATTTACCAAATCTATATAATATCAGGACAAACCTAAACAATAAATTCAATTTGTATCAAATCAGGCAGGCCCTTACACTTCATAATTTATAGTAGCTCTAAATGAGATTGTACTATCAGAATGTATACTGTAGAGCAGCAGGGGACCGTTATCTGACATGGCACCATTATATGTAAATGGCACTTTAGTTTTTAAAAAAACAATCACTTTAAAGGTGAATGCCGGGCATATATTTGATGCAGTTGTGTTCCTGTCTCACATGCATACATCCAAGGGCCGATTTAGACAGGAACCAATTAACCTACCAGTATGTCTTTGAAATGTGTGAGGAAACCGGATTACCCAGAGGAAACCCACTAAAACACGGAGAACATGCAAACTCCTTGCAGATAGTGACCAGAACTCTTAACTAATAGTGAGCAGAAGTGCTAACCAATAAGCCACTGTGCTGTTCCCTGAATGCTGTTTTTTTATTGTCCATTCAGCAAGCTGCTGTCATCGAGGTGACACCACTGTATTTCCTAGTGCTAACCGAGAAAAGTGCTGTCACCCCCCATGCAGGGCCGTAGATAATTTTTTTCCCTGGGGGGGTTCAGCTTCCTCAAATTATAAGACTTTATCTAGCAGACACACCAAGGTTTGAAAAAAAAAGCGACATCCGTGGCCACTTCAGCACCCCCACACACACACATTATAAACTATTCCTAAACCTTGTGGACTTCGCAGAAGAGTTTAAGCTGTTATAGCGACAAAGAGTGGGCCAACTCAATATTGAACCCTACGGACTATGACTGGGATGCCATTAATGTTCATGTAATTGTAAAGGCAGGCATCCCAATATTTTCAGCAATATAGTGTATAGTAGGAAAACAGGCTTGGTTGGATGTTTATAGTAAATATCAGAATTCTTTGTGCTTGGAGATTAAAGTTGTACCTGTTCTTCAGACATTTTATTTATATTTTGCTTGGAAGATCCGATTTAATACCTTTTAATCCACTAAATTTACCTGAACAGCTCCTCCAGCTTCCAGTGCCTTACATGTCTGCCGATTATCTTAATGTACATAACCTCCCATTACATAATACATAAGTTCCCATTACATAAATGAATTTATTATCTTTGACAGCATGTAAATCTCCCAGTGTCCCACAAACCAGTTAATGATTCTCTATGTGAATCAGTCATTCAGAAGCAAGGAGCTTCCACGTGATGACATAGGGGGTTTTTATGCTTCCAAATTTAAACCAAGTTGTAATTACTCAGTGAACAGAAGACACACATGGCTAGAAGATTGAATACACTTTGTATTATAATTTGTAACTCTTTCTTTGAAGTGGAGAATAAGGAAGAGGGATTATGTTTTTATTTTGGGCACAAATTTACACCTGAACATAGCCAGAGAGTATTTACATGCTACTCGCAATACAGGGGCCCCATAGATGTTTAAATTAGAGCGCCTGAAAAACCTGCCTAAACACTTGTTTTTAAGGGTTTATTTAGACTTGCCCATTAAAGTCTACGGGCCAAAACAAAAACACACAACTCTGCCCCAAAAGAAGCTCGTTTACTTTTTAAAACCTCTTGTGACAGGCCACAAGCGATACAACGCTGAGTAGTGAACAGGCCCATTGAGAATAATAGGATTTTTCATTTCACTCTTCTGCTCTGGTATTGCAATATAGTAAACTATCAAAGCTCATTTACATTTGGGTAAAAAAACCTCCAAAAATAGCCGCCAGCAGCCATTAAAAAGAAAATATCTTCGACATGCTACATTCACCTCCTCTGCTGCGCTTTCCCCCACAGCTTTTCTTGCTGGTTAATGCAGCATTGCGGTTCTTCCAGGTTAGATGACGTTCAGTGTCATTCAGCCTACTTCCTTTGGATCTGCCCAGGATGGCTCATGGCTCTGCCCTGGACCCATAAGAGAATGCTGCAGAGTACAGTACCATTACAAAGCTCCATTCTCTGTAATACCAAACTAGTATTTGGGTGAGTACTCCTACTCACCCACATTGTCCCAATACTTATTCCGATACCTGAACTTCCGGTATCAGGAAGCCAGGAGGTGAGTTATTAGATGCCGCCTGGCTTCCTGATTGGCCGGGAAGCCGGCTCCATGCTCCTTCATCACCAGGGAGCATGGAGTCGGCTTCCTGGCCAATCAGGAAGCCAGGGCCTGCTAATTACTTGCCTCCCGGCTTCCTAATTGGCTGGGAATCTTGCTTCATGCTCCCTCGTCACAGGGAGCATGGAGCCGGATTCCCAGCTAATCAGGAAACGGGGCAGTGAGTCATTACATACCGCCCGGCTTCCTTAATGGGACTTCCAGTATGAGTATTCAGTATCAGCGGGTACCAAAAAAATATATATTGGTACTTATTCTCGATACCGAAAAACTGGTATCGGTGCATTCCTAGTTAAACCCAATTACTAAAAAATGTATATACGTTTTTATAACATGTTAATGGGTTTTCAAAAGTAATTTTCAATCATTTTAAATGTGTAACTTACATTAAAATAATATCTGTTAATCTTGCCATAAAGGTCCTTGTGCAGGCATTATAGGGTGAAAATGCTCTTTCCCCGTCTTCCATTTGTTCTCCTGTGTTATAACCTTGTCAATGGGTCTCCTAATGTAGCTACAAGCAGCTGAGCTGACACACAATTCACAGGCACAATCTACTGTTGTCACTACCAGGAAACCTGATGTAAAAAAATTTGTGTGGCAGTTGCAGGAGCGCTTGCATGTAAACAGGATATGGCTGCAATGAGGCTCAAAAAAATTAGCAGAGGTGATATGCAACAAAAAATTTAAAAGGTTAAAACAGAATTTTATATAAAAATGTGTGCCGGTCAGTGCAAAGGGGTATATTTATCAAAGATTTGATGGGACATTTGCCCTAAACGTTCGGGCAAC